GAAAAGGAGGCATGGATTATTTATTATTATTTTATTTATTTATTTATATTATTTTTATTTTTTGAGACAGAGTCTCACTCTATCACCCAGACTGGAGTGCCAAGTGTTGGTGCAAGCTTTTCTGTGGTAAAAACACCTATAATCTACTCTCTCTTCGTGATCCACCCATCTCGGCCTCCCAAAGTGCTGGGATTACAGGCTTGAGCCACCGCGCCCGGCCGACAGCCCACTTTTCAAATGACCCTGTGCTATGCAAGAATCCTGTGCTATGAAAGGTTATTCACGGTGCAGATGGCTCTTCAGTGCAGTGCAGGAGTGGGCTCAGGGATTGAGGAAGAAGTCCAGGCCAGGCTGAGAGGTGGGGTTGGGGCCAATACCTGCCAGAGGCTGCAGATAGAGCTCGCTGCTGGGGTGTATGAAGGATACTCCATCTTCCCCATCAGCCCAGAGGTTGTCAGTCTCTGAAGCATCACCCCCTGGAAGTGGAGAGTGATGGAGGGTTTGACTGCAAAAATGGGGGATGGGGGAGAAGCTGGAATCTCCCAGTGGAAATCCCAGTGTGGCCTTCTCTTCTCCAGCATCATGATGCAAGTGTTGTCTGTTCACAAGTAGGAGTGAAGGAGGTGAGGAGGGGGTAATCAGCTGGAGACTGAAGGCCTAGCTCAGGCTGGCTGTGACGCTTGACGCCTCCTGCCTGCCTGAACCCCTCCTGTCCCATGTCCTCACAGTCCCTTTCTGTGGGAATATAGATGATGTGCGTACGTATGAACAGAACAGCCCGGACAGGCACAAAGGCATTTACAGCAGTCATTTCCAGACTTGAGGACTGATCAAAACACAGATGACTGGGACTATCCCCTAGAGTTTCTGATTCAGTATGTTAGAGAAGGGCTGAGAATTCGCATTTCTTTTTAAAAATTAATTTTTAATGAAAAATAAAAATTCAGGGCCAGGTGCAGTGGCTCACGCCTGTAATCCCAGCACTTTGGGAGGCTGACAGGGGCGGATCATGAGGTCAGGAGACCAAGACCAGCCTGACCAACATGGTGAAACCCCATCTCTACTAAAAATACAAAAATTAGCCGGGCATGGTGGTGCATGCCTGTAATCCCAGCTACTCAGGAGGTTGAGGCAGGAGAATTGCTTGAACCCAGAAGGCAGAGGTTGCAGTGAGCCAAGACTGTGCCACTGCACTCCAGCCTGGGTGACAGAGCCAGACTCCGTCTCAAAAAAAAAATTCATATATTTATTGTATACAACATGATGTTTTGAAATATGTAAACATTGTGCAATGGCTAATTCAAACCAATGTATGCACTATCTCACATACTTATTTTCTGTGGTAAAAACACCTATAATCTACTCTCTTACCAATTTTCTTTTCCTTTTTTTTTTTTGAGACAGAGTCTTGCTCTGTCACCCAGCCTGGAGTGCAGTGGTGCGATCTTGGCTCACTGCAACCTCCACCTCCCGGGCTCAAGCAAGTTTCCTGTCTCAGCCTCCCGAGTAGCTGGGACTACAGGCATATGCCACTATGCCCGGCTAATTTTTGTATTTTTAGTACAGACAGGGGTTTCACCATATTGGCCAGGCAGGTCTCGAACTCCTGACCTAAAGATTCACCCACCTCCGCCTCCCAAAGTGTTGGGATTACAGGTGTGAGCCACCGCACCTGGCCTCTCTTAGTAATTTTCAAGAATACATCGTCATTAACTACAGCCACCATGTAGTACAGTAGATTCTGGAAGGTATTCCTCCTATCTAACTGCCATTTTGCATTTTTTTGACCGGCATCTCCCTAATCTTCCCCCAACTCCCAGGATAATTTGCATTTTTTTTTTTTTTTTAATTTTTGAGACAGAATTTCCCTCTTGTCGCCCAGGCTGAAGTGCAGTGGAGTTCTCAGCTCACTGCAACTTCTGCCTCCCAGGTTCAAGTGATTCTCCTGCCTCAGCCTCCAGAGTAGCTGGGATTACAGGCTCCCGCCACCATGCCGGGCTAATTTTTGTATTTTTAGTAGAGACAGGGTTTCACCAGGTTGGCCAGACTGGTCTTGAGCTGGTGACCTCAGGTGATCCACCTGCCTTGGCCTCCCAGAGTGCTGGGATTACAGGCGTGAGCCACCAGGCCCAGCCGATAATTTGCATTTCGAACAACTTAGGTTGTGTGGATATTACTGGTTCCTGGACCACACTTTGAGGACCACTGACTTAACCCAATCCTGCCTTTCTGCCCTCCTGCTCAGCTTGCTCACTTGGCCAGCTCTAAATTCTGACGACTGCTACAGAACAAGGCAGGGACCTGCTGTGATGGGAAATATCCTGGATTGAATGGAAATATAGGGAGTCTTGTCTGCATGCTGATTTGCAATATATTTGATCTCCTTTTCTAAGAGCTCCTGCTTTGCCTGGAGCTGCTGAGAAGGGCTTAATGCCTCTCCCACATCTATCCTCCTGAGGGCTCCGGCCTGTACTGAGTTTCTAACATCACCTCACCCTCGGGCCTGCTCAGGTGCCCTCTCCAACGGTGCACCTACCCCGATAGCCGCCGCCGCCTCCGCCCGCAGTGCAGGCCCCGCCGCCGCCCCCGAAGCCGCCGGCCGCGGCCCAACCAAGGGTCGCCCAAGCCTCGGAGCAGCCCTGGCCGCCCTCCGCCCCCTCCTGCAGTGAGCGGCCGGCCTGCGGAGAGGGAGCCCGCGACGTCCAGCCGCCCCCACCACCTGCAGAGTGACAGCAGGAAGGTTGGCAGCCACACTGGGAGCACGCCCGCCTCTCCCCACAGCCCCGCGCCCTCACCTGCCGCCCCGCCTGTCCCGCCGCTTCCGGGCGCCTCCGAGCGGTTCTCCAGTTTCTCGGGGGCGGCCTGAGTCCGGCCTCGGTCCCGCGGCCTCAGGTAGGCCCGACCGCCGCCTCCGGCCGCCACCAGCAGCGGTTCCAGCTCTCCGGCGCGCACCTGTGGGACCAGCGGCGTGTTCCAGGACGCGCCCTCCAGCCGTCCAGGGGCACTGCCACTGGGCGAGGGCTCCCGCCCCGGAGGCCCGGATAAGGGCAGGGCCCCCCAGCCCAGCCCAGCTCAGGTATAGGGGGACCCCAACGGACGGACGGAGCGCGGGTGCGTGCGCGCCCCTGGGGAGAGGATTAGGACCCCCACGCTGAGCGCTGAAGGGAGCACGTACCCGGAAAACGTAGGTGGCGCCCCCGCCACCCCCGCCACCTCCCGCCCAGCGCCGCGACCCTGGGACCTCTTCGCTCCCATCCATCGCCGCGTGCTCTTCAACGGCTCGAGACTCCCCGAGGCAGACAAGCTGGCTCTCCGGGCTACCCTGCGGGCAGCGGGGGCGGGAATCGGCGGGGCCCGGGAGCCTCCCCTCGCTGTGCTGGTGACCCGGCACCGAGGAAAGCACGCTCCCCAGGCCCCCAGGCAGCCCTCGCCCCGCGGCGCCGGCGCCGCCCCATCCCCACTGGCTGCGCTCACTCCGGGACAGGCGTCCTCTCCCTGCTGCCCCACCAGGATGTACAGCGACTCCCCGAGACCGAGGGAGAAGATTGCTGAGACGAAGACGCCATGCGCCCGCGACAGGTGGTTCTTGGCGCCTTTGCCGCCTGCGGCTCCGTAGGCTGAGATCCTGCGGGGAGCGGTCGGTGAGTCCCCGGCCCTCGGTGCTAACAGAAGTTGGCAACAGAGAAGGCTCCAGAATTATTTTTTATCTGAGGGACTTGGAGGCTGCAATCGACTCTGACGGGATGGGAAAGGCAGGTTTGCACACCAAAAGTTCAGATATTACACTTATTTCAGGAGGGTTCGTGGAAATGTGGGGAGGCTCAAGTACCCCTTCGCGCCGCCCTGGTTAGGGGCCTTCCGCTCGGTGTAAGAGGGTCCGGGTCAGGGCTAACTCGGTGGCAACTATTGCCACCTTGAAGGGCACTCAAGGTGGACCTCTCTGCGGAATACTCCGTGACACAAGGCGGTGCGCAAGTGACCTTCGTTCCCCTGACGGTGAAACCTCCAACTAGCAGGTCACTGCCCACCCTACCCCCTCCCCGCACTTACAGATACTGGCCAGGGCCCGGCACGCGCCACAGCTGCACGCCTCTCAGCTGCCCGGCGGCCCCCACGGTCACCACCACGCTGGTCCCCGCGTAGGCCCCATCACATTGTGTCTGTGTGGGCCCATGCCGGCCGCTGGCCCCGCAGGTAGAAAACAGCCAGGACCCCTCGGTGCCTGAGAGCAAGGAGTGAGACAAGGGTCGTCGAGCCCCTGGCTGGGCCAGAGGGGTCTGGTGTGGTGAGCGGAAGAGGAAGGAGGCGCCTAAAGCTCACCCGGAGAATTCAGCTGGGAGGCTGGCTCCAAGATGCTAGGCGGGGCGCTGACTTTCGGGTCCTGGGGGCCGGGACTTGCCAGCGGCAGGGGCGAGGACGGCTGAAAAGGCTCCTGGGACCCCGGGCTAGAGCAGAGAATGGCGCCTGAAAGGTGTTGGGAGAGGCGCAGGACATTAAGGCGGGTGGAAATAGGAAATAAAAGAAAGAGAGAACCCCGCAACAGCTGCCCTTGCGGTCGCGGCCACACCCCTCACCCTGCCCAGCCCCCCTCTCAGCCTGGAAGCCACTACCCGACTCCGGTCGCAGAAGCCCCGCGGGTGCTCGCTGATAGCTCTACCAGTTTCTCTCCTCGACCGCCCTTCCCAGAGAATAACTTAGGGGCTGCACTGAATTTGGTCCTGCAGCCTCTCCAATACTCTCCTCGACTTAGATTGGTTGCCCCGCCCCAAGGCGGTGCTGAGACCCCAAAGAATGTTCCTCCTTCCCAAGCTGCGTGATCCAGACTCTGGGATTCGCACTACTTGGCACTTCTCCTCCCGCACTCCAGAAGCACGGACCGGAGAAATGTGGTTGTGAGAGTTCGAGGCCTCTGGAGGAACCACCGACACCTGGCCTGTTGCGACCGGCCACCCACAAGCCTAGGAAGGTGCCTTTGGCTGGACGGTCCCCTGACCGCCAGACAGCACTTACCCACAGCTCCGAACCACACCAGCAGCCGGCCCCAGCGTCCCATCCCTGTTAGGTCCACCCGGCAACAACAGCCCTTGCGGTCGTGGCCACACCCCTGTCAACCTGAAGTTGACAGCTCACTTGGCCACCGCAGCCCTGGCCGCCACTTACAGGGGTGTGCTGCGGCCGGCGAGACACTCCCCGGACCTAAAGCCGGCCTGGCCACGCCCACCTCAGACCCCAGGACGCCAGAGGAGGAAAGGGAGGGGCGTGTGGGCAGCGAGGTCCCTACGCTTCCGGGAGGAGCCTTAAGGAGTCCCCACCCAGGGGCTCTAGTCTCCTGCCGTCAGATGTGCCGCAGCCTGCTGGGAGCTGGGGTAGGTTTGAGGCCGGAGAGGAGGTGCCCCACTCTTAAAGCGGGAGCTACACCTCGGACACCAGGTGGGGGCTTCCAGGTTCCTGAGGACAGGAGCAGCGGAGTGTGCACTTCATTTGTGGTAGTGGTGGTGGTGGGTGTGTGGCACGCGTCACCACACGTGGGAAGTACTCTCTAAACTGCCCCAAGTAAGGCCTCATCACCTGCCATTACTTGTGCCTTTCAGTGGTGCCTTTGTGACTGCAAGGCTGAACCTCCCTGCTACCCCCAGAAACCTGGATCTCTGTGTTTGCCTAATATAATTCCGTTGCCCGTGTTACCCCTGTGCACAGCTTTCACTCTGATGGGGTAAAAGACTGGACCAGACGTTAGAAGATCTGAGTGCTTTTAGTAGCACTGAAGGACGATAGATGATAGGTAGACAGATCGATTGATCGATTGATCTTGAGCACTAGTACTAGCACCTCTGGTAAATGGGTGATGTAGCACAGACCACAATTGCTCTGAGAGTTTCCCCACCACCTGCAAAATCATATGAAGGGAAATTGCTCTGTAAGCTACAAGGTACCCTACAAACGTGGGAGCCACTCCCTTCAGGTAGTTTTGTGTCTTGAGTCTTCGATCATTTGCTTAAAATTCTAACTTGAGGGCCGGGTGCAGTGGCTCATGCCTATAATCCTAGCACTTTGGGAGGTCGAGGCAGGCAGATCACCTGAGGTCAGAAGTTTGAGACTAGATAGACCAACATGGCAAAACCCCATCTCTACTAAAAATACAAAATTAGCCAGGCGTGGTAGTGCACGCCTGTAATCCCAGCTACTCGGGAGGCTGAGGCAGAGAATTGCTTGAACCCGGAAGGCGGAGGTTGCAGTGAGCCAAGATTGCACCACTGCACTCCAGCCTGGGCAACACAGTGAGACTCCGTCTCAAAAAAACAAACAAAAAACAAAAAAAACTCCTGGTCTCTATTCTCTAGTTATCACTATGAGATCACAGAATTTACCTTGCAAGGCCTCTTTAGGCCACTGCTCTTCAAATTGTGGTTGTGTAGTTGGTTCTGAATATCAGCATCAGTATCACCTGGGAACTTGTTAGAAATGCAGATTCTTGGGTTTCACCCCAGACGTACTGAATCAGCAGCTTCTGGTGGTAGGGCCCAATCATCCTTTTTAAAATACCATCCAGGTGATTTTTGTCACAAAGTTTGAGAATCATTGGTATTTGCTGATACAGTAGTTGCTTAATAAAACCTATTGGGGCCGTGCGCCGTGGCTCACGTTTGTAATCCCAGCACTTTGGGAGGCCGAGGTAGGCGTACTGCCTGAGCTCAGGAGTCCGAGACCACCCTGGGCAGCATGGCAAAACCCTGCCTCTAATAAAAATACAAAAAGTTAGCTGCGCCTGGTGGTGTGCACCTGTAGTCCCTGCTACTTCAGAGGCTGAGGCATGAAAATCGCTTGAGCCCGGGAAACAGAGGTTGCAGTGAGCCAAGATCATGCCACTGCACTCTGGCTTGGGCTAGAGTGAGACTCTGTCTCAAAAAAAAAAAAAAAACAAAAAACGCTGGGCCAGTGGCTCACGCCTGTAATACCAGCACTTTTGGAGGCTGAGGTGGGTGGATCACGAGGTCAGGAGTTCAAGACCAGCCTGTACAACATGGCGAAACCCCATCTCTACTAAAAATACAAAAATTATCCGGACGTGGTGGCACGTGCCTTTAATCCCAGCTACTTGGGAGGCTGAGGCAAGAGACTGGCTTGAACTAGGGAGGCAGAGGTTGTGGTGAGCTGAGATTACCCCACTGCACATCAGCCTGCATGACAGAGCAAGACTCTGTGTCAAAAAAAAAAAAAAAAAAAACCCAAAAAATCTATTGGATAATTCTGTGTTCAGCAGCTCCATTTATGAAGACTGGGTTCTCTCTACCTACTGACAGGGCTAAGCCTTGGCATACTGTTCTCTGATTACCTGCAAACACAGTAAGTAATTCCACACAGCAAAAGACAGTCTAAGAAAGCCTAAGTTTTAGAATTCAGACAAAAGAACAATGTAGAAACTACCAAAATAGGCCAGGTGTAGTGGCTCACGCCTGTAATCTTAGCACTTTGGGAGTCCGAGGTGGGTGGACTGCTTGAGCTCAGGAATTAAAGACCAACCTGGGCAACATGGTGAAACTCTGTCTCTACAAATACAAAATATTAGCCAGGCATGGTGGTACTTGCCTGTGGTCCCAGCCACTCGGGAGGCAGAGGTGGGAGAATGGCTTGAGCCCAGGAGGTCGAGGCTGCAGTGAGCTATGATCATGCCACTGCACTCCAGCCTGGGTGACAGAGTAAGACCCTGTCTCAGAAATAAATAGACAGACAGACAGACAGACAGACATGGCATCTCACTATGTTGGCCAGGCTGGAATTGAATTCCTGGAATCAAGTGATCATCCTGCCTCAGCCTCCCAAGTAGTTGGGACTACAGGTGTTCACTACTGTGCCTGGCAGGTCCCATATTCTTGCTGTCTCCAGATGTGGACAAAGTTTTTACCTCCCACTTATGATTCTTCCCCATCTCTCTCATAGCAGTCCTGCTCCTCACCTGGGATAACCCACCCCCACATACTAACCCTGAACTAACATGGCTGAAATCAGTCCAAATCAGATTTCCGGGAGATAAAAAACATTTTAATGTACAACTATAGCATTCATATACCTTAGCCCGGGGCAGGGGTTGGGAGTTAGGTAAGAAGGGATGCATTTAGTTTGCCCTGTCCCCAAAGAGGGGGTAAATAGCTAAGCCGCTCTTCACTCCCAGCACAGACCTTCAGAAGCCCCAGGTATCAGGATGTAATGGTAGGGCTCATTCTGCTCCAAAACAGCTCAAACCACCTGCTCCCAGGAAGGCAAGCTTTCTGCTCCTTGGTCTTCTGCCTGCCATTAGGACACAATGTCCTTTGTCTGGCCAGGCATCTGTTGAAAGGCTGGATACAGGACAATGTACCCATGTTTCCATCTATAGCAACTATCCTAGGTCTCTGATACCCCATTTTGGAGCACCGTTGAAGTCAGTCTCTGGAGGTAGTGCTCACGCAGAGGGGGCAACTGAGAATAGAGCTCAAAGCCCTCTGGGAGTGTGGAATTGGGAAGCTTATAGTGGAGGAGGTGCTGCCGGAGACCCTGCAGAGAGGAAAGAAACCTTATGAAGTAGGTAATGAGATCCTGTTGTGGTCTCTGTCCCCCAAGATCCTCTAATATCCCACCCTCCTAATGGCCCTGACCCTACCTCATCTGCCAGCAGCCACGTTTTCTGCAGCATACTCCTGCGGGCAGCTTTTACCTCATCCTAGAAGCAGAACAGGGAGAGGTGGCACTGAGCCAAGGGCTGGTACCAACCACCTCTCCCCTAGCTGGCCCAGAGGCAGCTCTCTTCCTTCCTCTGAAGATGGAGATGTAACTTACTGAGCTCTGTGGGTCCTGAGAGAAGATGAAGCTATTGACATGAGCTACAGCCACAGCATAGAGCACGGGGCACCAATGTGGACGGAGCGCACCAGTAGCCAGGGTCCGGAAGTAGAGCTGAAGGAGGGCCAGGTTGTCTTCGGGAGGCACTGTGTAACACTCCAGGGACACAGGCAACTGTGACAGGGGAAAGGATGTGTTGAGGGGGAGGGTAGCAATGTATGTACATCCACAAGGTGCATGGATAATAATCACATGACACCAAATCATGAGGGCAGAGATCAGGTCCTAGACAGACATCTGTCCTTCTTCTAGCACAAGGATCAGGGTTAAAGACTACAGAGCAGATGTCGGGGGAAACTGGGAACTGAGAAGCAGCCGTTAAAAATAATGAAATTGGCCATGTGTGGTGGGCCACGCCTGCAATCCCAGCACTTTGGGAGGCTGAGGCAGGCCGATCACATGAAGTTAGGAGTTCAAGACCAGCCTGGCCAACATGGTGAAATGCCATCTCTACTGAAAATCCAAGTTAGCTGGGCATGATGGCAGATGCTTGTAGTCCCAGCTACTTCGGAGGCTGAGGCAGGGGAATCACTTGAACCCGGGGGTATAGGTTGCAGTGAGCCGAGATCGTGCCACTGCACACCAGCCTGGGCGACAGCACGAGACTCTGTCTCAAAAAAAAAAAAAAAAAAAAATTAGCCAGGCATGGTGCTGTGTGCTTGTAATCCCAGCTACTCAGGAGGTTGAGGCAGGAGAATCGCTTGAACTTGGGAGCTGGAGGTTGCAGTGAGCCATTTTACTCCAGCCTGAGCAACAGCGCGAGTGTGTCTAAAAAAAAAAAAAAAAAACGAAATCTTATAAACAAAACATAATAACTTTTTTTTTTCTTTTAAATAGAGTCTCGTACTATTTCCAAGTCTGGAATGCAGTGGTGTGATCATAGCTCACTGGCAGCCTCAGCCTCCTGAGTTCAAGTGATCCTCCTGTCTCAGGCTCCTGGGTAACCAGGTCTATGGGCAAGTCACCAGGCCTGGCTAATTTTCAAGTAACTTTTTATAGAGATGGTGTCTAGCTATGTTGCCCAAGCTGGTCTGAAACTCTTGGCTTCAAGCGATCCTCCTGCCTTGGCCTCCCAAAATGTTGGATTACAGGCATAAGCCACCTCACCCAGAAAAAAAAAAAAATTTTTTTTTTTTCTTTTTTGAGACAGTTTCACTCTTGTTGCCCAGGCTGGAGTGCAGTGGCACGATCTGGTCTCACGGCAACCTCCACCTGCCGGGTTCAAGCGATTCTCCTGCCTCAGCCTCCAGAGTAGCTGAGATTACAGGCATGCACCACCACGCCCAGCTAATTTTTTGTATTTTTCTTTAGTAGAGACAGGGTTTTGCCATGTTGGCAAGGCTGGTCTCGAACT